GCAGGCCCCGGAGGGGGAGGTGGGGGCGGGGGCGGCGCCGCGGGGGAAGCCACAGCCACAGCCGCTGTGCTGGTCCTGGCTGCTTCCGACGTCGGAGCTCTTTCCGCGGGCGTCATGGGGTCCGTGCCAACGTCAACGCATTCCCGCAACGGCGTGGGTGCGGGTGTGGTCGGCGTCGGCATCCTGTCGCTCGAGGTCTGGCTCACGTTGAGTCCGCTGCTGACACTGAGGCGGTCGCTGAGTCGGGTGCGCGCCGTGGTCTGCGTCGACACGGACTTGGTCTCGCAGGTCGACCTGGGCCCCTTGGACGGCGGGGGAACGCTCCCATTCGCGATGTGCGCCGTCAGCTCCTCGAGGGCCTCCCATATCCGGTCTCTGAAAAGCAGCACAGACATCTGGGCTCAGTTTCAGATCTGGGGTTCACAGACGGCCCAGGCGGGGCGAGCTCGTCGCCCACCCTCGTCAGCCGCGGCCCTACCGGAAGGGCAGCAGAAATGCGAATACAAGAAGCAAGAAGAACGAGCCGAACGCATTGTCCCTCGCGATGGCGGAACGAGACCCCTTGAGAAGTGCACTTTGTGTAAAAGACAATCCAGAATTTTGAAATGAAAATCTATCGAGGTTAGGGCTTTGAAACAATGTGGACCCGCGATGCCATGGAGACATCACAGCACAGCACAGCACAGCGCGCCGTGGAGGTACTCACGATTGTGTATTCGACGGATCCAACTGGCTGAGGTTCAGGAGCACCGAGTGGAGGGCGAGGCTCTGCGGGGTGTCGGCCACCTGCAGGACGGCAAGAGCAACGACAATCAGTACCCCACGCACCCCCACGACAGTGAGTGAAGCTATTGGCTGCTCGCGCACCTTGCTGAAGATGGTGTCGAACAGCTGGTGGTGGCTCATGTGCAGCGGGTCGCCAGCGGCCCCGAGCTCCTCCAGAGCGTCCTGGTCCGCGTGCGCCGCATCGTCGAACACGCCCACCTGTATCTGCAGCTCGTTCGAGTCAATGGTGCGCAGTACCGCGAGCAACTGCCCGAGACCCGAGCCTGCACAGGAAAAACAATTTTATTATCATTTAAAAAAAAATCGATTTAATTGACTTTGCTTGATTTTTTGCTTATTATTTTTTAGATTGTACAGTGATTTTGTTTATTTTTCAAAAAAGTTAAGCATTTTTTTTGGCAGTGCCGCACAATCCGACTTACCCATGAGCTCGCTGCGGGTCCGCGTGCGTTCGGCCAGACCCTGGTTGGCCATCACCAGGCAGTTGACGAAGCACAGCAGCACGGTCTGGTACACGGCCGTCTCCGCGGTCCGCAGCTCCAGGATGACGGCGTCAAACCGGTAGCGGTGACCACGCAGGTTCTGCGCACGAAGGACAAGAAATAATCAGGGGTTGCGATGAAAAGGCGTCGCGTCGATGTAACGACGTCTTTCGAATGAAGGACGCGTTTGGTTCAACATATGTGTGGTATCGACATCGATGCGACCATCCCGCGAGTTATGCGGCAGTGCTGGAGTCGCACGTATGCACGCACGCAAGGGTCAGGTGACCACCGTGAAAGTCGAAATTAATAATAATCAAATTAATTGCAACGTACCTTGAAGTGCTGCAGCGCATCGAGCGCCAGGGCATGTCCGCTTGGAGAGAACATGCAAATGGCACAGAGCAGCTCAAACACCTGCAGCTTCACCGTCGTGTTCTGCGAGCTCAGGACTGCAAAAAAGGCAGAACGTAAGTAAACGTGCAAAAGGGACACCGCGAGAGGTGCACGCATTAATTTACACTGCGCACATATTTTTTATTTGCGAGGTGGGAAAAGTGTCACTCGATGTTGTACTCACTGCTCGCGAGCTGCCTCGTGTGGGCGGGGTGGCCCACCATGTACTCGAGGCCGACGCCGCTGTTGATGACGGCCCGCGTGCAGGCCACGCACTCGATCTGGCTGCTGATGTCCGCCATGGAGCTGAGCCCTCCACAGCCGCGGCGCGCGCCCGCCCCGACGACGCCGTGGTGCTGCCCGTGTCCCAGCCTCTCCAGGCTGTCGAGCAGCACTCCCAGCCCATCGCGTTCCAGAAACTCCAGGAGCCACGACCTGCAGGACAGACGCACACACCCACAGATTAGCCACCCGTGTATCGCCGGCTGAGCTGCTGCGGGCCTGGGCAGCTGCTGAAGGCGCAGCGCGCAGGACCCAAAGAGACGCAGCCGAAATCTCGTTCCGTCGTCTATAAAACCAGAGAGAACGCGCCGCCCGCAGCCGCTATAGCGCGCTATGAAGCCATAATATTTCCGAAGGGCGTAAATCTTCGCAGCCAATCACGAGCCGGCCCTGGCCCGCTGGGCTGGAGTATGCAAAATCCAGATGCCCAGCCCCAATGCGACACCCGTCCCATCAGCGCTGGAATGTGAGAACCCGCCTCTGGGTCACACCTCGTCACACGGACCGGCCCGGAGCTCGAGCCGGAGCCGCGTATCAAATCTTCTCCAGCGAAAACACGACGAGAACACGGCTCCCGTCGCGTCGCGTCGCGGAGGAGAGGAGTGGCGGGGCGCGGCGCGATGCCGTGCCGTGGGTGGTCGCGCAGCGGAGGCGCCAGCATCGCATGGCCGGCCCACCGGCCCTCGCGGGTGAAGTCGCACCTCCGAGGTGCGGCGGGGCGGCGCGGGGCCAAGGCCGACGTCAGCTGCCCCGCGGACACACTCGGACACCGCCCGCATGCGCCCCGCCCCGCCCCGCCCCGCTGGAACACTCCCGTTTGCCCATCCAGCCTCCGCGCGTTATCTATACCACCCACAAGTGGGTCGAGGTGGCGCTGCGTTGCGGGGCGTGGCGGGGCGTGGCGTGGGTGACAATCGTGTCAACAAGCAAAGCGCGTGGCCTCCTAAAATCCGTCTCATTCACAAGCCACTCGGGCGCGACAGATGGGAGAGCTCTTGTTTTCGTTGCGTCGAAAATCCACAATCCCGAAAAACACACATGATCCCATCGGCGCGCCGCAGGCCGCAGCGAGGGGGGCGACAGGGGCGGAGAGATGGGCCTCCCGTCCCGCGCTACGCCTGCTGCTCTTTACATCTCGACGAGCAGACCCGCTTGCAGCATCTCGAGAAAGCATGCGAGAGAAAGAGTGTGTGTGTGTGTACCCCTCCTGCCCCAACGGACAAGCACGTTGGTAGTATACGTGTGCCCCCCCTCGGCGCGCACCGGACGCACGAGGACGTCGTCAAAGGAACGGAAGCGCGCTGGACGCCCCCCCCCCCCCGCGACGCCTCGGCCGGCATGCTGACCGCGTATGGAAGCACCGTGTCGCGGCGGTGACTAACGCGCCGCCCCACGCTGAGCGAGCGCTGCGCCGACACGAAGGGCCTAACCTCTCAAACCAGATTCCACACGCGGAGCACACGCGGCGGCCAAATAATTTATTATTACACATCCTAGGGGGCTTGCTGGCCGGCTTGCCGGCCGCCCCCTAGGCCTACTTCACTGTAAATTTATGCGTAGGACACTAACTTCTCAATAGTTTTTTTAGCAGATGATACCTTACAACCTTACACCTAAACATATCTAAACACAACTATACATGAGTAATGTAAGGTGTCATTGCTTTAACTCTCGATTAAGAAATATTAAAGAGAACGTATAGCAAGCTGCGCTAGGCGGGGTCGTGAGGCGGCTGAGGCCGTCGCTCGCGCTACGCGTTGTTGCGCCGAGCCACTAGCCGAGCCGAGCGGAGCCAAGCCGAGCCGAGCGGAGCCCGAGCCCCGAGCCGAGTCGGCCGCGCTGTCTACGCTAGTCCTCCCCCTCCCTCGCACCGCGGGAGCCCCCGCACCGCCAACCTCCCTTCCCCCCTTCCCCACAAGTGTAAATACAGAAATATAATAGACTGGGATAGAATAATTCTTGACAAGGTATCATCTGCTTTCACGATCCGTTTCTGGTCGGAACTTTTTTTTGATTTTTGTTGTTTTGTTTACTCTAATTTTTCTGATGTCTTTGACTTTTATTAATTTTTGCTGATTTTTTTTTTGACGGGAGCACACGGATAGTTGTGTGTGAAGTATACACCTCTGCTCCCTCCCCCTACCGCGGCGACGACAGTTCGGATATCCTTTTGAAGAACCCTCTCATCCTCCCTCTCTCTCTCTCGCTATTCACGGCGCGGTGCAGCGGGGCCACGAGGGTGAAAGGTGCGTCGTGTGGCGTGGCGTCGCGACGGCCGCGTTTGTCACCGCGTCGCTCCGTCATCGCGCGCCCGTCAACGGGACTGTCAAGGGCGAGGCGAGGAGCGCGATGAGGAGGTGGAGGAGGGCCTCCCGGAGGAGCAGCCCCAGAGAGTAGCACGCGGAGAACAAAAACACGGGTGGGCGGCGGCCGGGCCGGCCTGGCCATCCTCCGTCCGTCCGTCCTCTGTCTGTGTCTCCAGGTCGCAGGAGGCATGAATGGATGGACACCTGGCGCAGTACCGCGGCGGCGGCGCGGTGGCGGGCGGCAGTAGGTGTGACTCGGCCAGGAAATGAGATGGAGGGGGAGGGGGCGGCGCCTCGCAGCTTCCGGTGAGTCATCCGCGGCGCTGCCCCCCCCCCTCCCCCCACCCCGGAGGCGGCGCCCCGCCCCTGCTTGCTTCCCTGCGGCACGCGCTGGAATGCCCGCGGAGGAGACGCGCATCGCCATGTGCATCGCAGGGGGAACATAGGGGCACTCCTGCAGGACCCAGCAAGCACAGAATCTCCTGGAAGATCCAGAGATTCTCCTGGAGGATCCATGCTCCAGCGAGAAAAGATTCCCCCAGAATCCAGCTCTAGCGAGCAGAGGTTCTCCTCTCCTGGAGGATCCAGCTCGAGCGAGCAGAGATTCTCCATCCAGCGGAGATTCCTCCCGCTGATAATCCAGTGACCTTGTCGCAGTTCTCCAGTTAGTTCCCCCTGGACGCTCCAGCCCGGCCGGGTCCGGCAGCTGGAGGCGCGGGCGCGGGCCTCATTATCACACAAGGGTCAGACGGGTGGACCTGATAACACCCCAGCAGCGCGCGCGGCACCCACTCGCCATACATAAACACGACGCGAAAATAGCTCTCGGTACGCGGCCAACGCCCGGCTGACCGCCTTGTGGGGTAGGCTACTTCACTGTAAATTCAACATAGTCAATTTTATTGAATTTAACAATTTTGATTCAAATTTGTTTTATTTCCTTTTTAATCTTTTCCGATTTTTTTTTTAAAGGTTTCCCAATATTTTTTCTTGATTTCCCCCTGATGTTTTTTGGAGGGTATACTCTGATTTTCGCACCGCCTTCGCTCTCCGCGGCGCACCCACCAGCGCGGCACCCCCAGCAGGGCCGCACAATGGGCCCGCGCACAGCTGGAGCCACGGCGCCTCGGCCGGAGCAGGCTGAGCCAATCAGAAGGCACGCGTGGAAGGCACGCTCACTCGCGCGGCAACATTCAAATGGTTAATTACAAGCGCCCGCCAAACGCAGTGTCACGGTCGTCACCACCACCAAGCGTCACCACCCCATATCCTGCCGTCACGACGCCGTCACGCCAAGCAGAAAGGCTGACTGGGCAGAAACGCCCGCCAGGCAGCAGGCTAGGCCGCCCGTAGAGCGCGGCTGTCCGGCGGGCCGGCCGCGCGCGGCTGCAAGGGGCCCGGCGGCAGCGCACCGAGGCTCGACAGCACCGGCACAGCGGCGCAGTACTCACAACAAAACAAGCATGAAAGGGGGGGGGGACGTCCTCCTACAGTGCGTCTCTGAAAGCACCGTGACATGATGTCGCCTAATAGACTCAAGACGACAAGTCGGCCCTTCTCTCAGGGTCGCGCGCTGGTTACCGCATTGCGTCACAACGACCAGGGAGTACCCCGGCCCCGGGCCTGGGCGGCAGGGCAGGGCATCCCCATCCCCGTGCCGTCCCCCGCCGACCCGAACGACCCGCGCGCAGCCGGGGCCGAGAAGAGCCGAGCGCAGCAGACACATTCCTGGCCAGGCAACGGCATGAGGCACTTCTAGGCGACAGTCGCCTCTGCCGCCGCCGCTGCCGCCGCCAGCCCGCGTGGCTGACATGAAAGGAGTTTAAATGTGATTTAGTACTCGTCGCATAACGCCGAGTACTTAGGCCCTTCGGCGCGCTCATCCACTGACCCACTACGCACCGCGGTAAATCATATCCCCCGTCCGTCGCGTCGCCGCGAGTCCGAGCCGCGTGGAGCCGCGCACGTCCGTCGCTCATGTGTGTTTTTGCACCGCTAGACTCGACCGAAGAGCCGAGCGGCGCCGAGCAGCGCCGAGAAGCAGCGCGCGGCCAGAGAGAAATCACCGTTGCCAATCACGCTCGGTGGCGATCCGAGCCGTAAACGCTAAACAAGAGAGGGCCTGTCCCGCGGAGGCGCACACCGGCCCTTCGCTCAGCCCGGCCCAGCCCCAGCCCTGCTGGCGCTGCATGGCCGGGGCGGAATCTGCGCGGCGGGGCGGGGCGGGGCGGGGCCGGGCGCCGCCGCGGGAAAAGGGAAGGACCACGGCGACTACGGTGGCATTCGCCGGTGGCGCGAGCGCGGCGCATTCCTCTACGGCGGCGGCGGCGCCGCCCCGCCCCAGGGTCCCCTCCACGACGACACGCTGGTCCCCTCCGAATGCCTACGCCGCACCACTTTGGTCGCAGCCGGTATAGCGCCCCCCGGCCTATAGCTAGCTGCCCTTCACCGCCAGCGCCACGCCACCGCGCCACCACCTTGACGCACAGGACGTAGCTACAGTCCCCGCTATCATCACTCACTCCCGCACTTGCTTCTTGCCGTCAGCCAGGCCAGCAACGGAGGAGGGGGTCATCGTCCCGGCCGCGATGGACTCCGCGTGCGCAAGTGGGCAAGTGGCTCCGAGTGTACCCCGTCAAGCGTATGTACACAGGTTTCTGATTTTTCTTGATTTTTCCTATTTTCCCTCAATTTTCCCTAAATTTTCCCTCAATGTTTTCTGATTTTTTCCGAAGTTTTTAAAAAAGTGAACACTGATTTTTTGGGGTTAGATAAGCACCCCTTGGTGGTCATCGCCCTGGCCGCGGTCCGTGTACTCCTGCGTGCGCAAGTGGGCACACGCTCCCA